CCGGTACCGGTCCGAGAGTCGACTTGTGTCCGGTACCGGTCCGAGAGTCGACTTGTGTCCCTCTGCAGAGAGAAGTCCAGCAACACACCTGGACAGAATTTTATCTTTATGGATCAGTTCTGAACCGTAAAGAAGACACAAAATAAAACAAACACATTTCTGCTTTTTAACTTTACATTGAAATAAATTTAAAAGTAAAATAATTAAATGACGTGAAATAATCAAACGTTTCGTTGTTTCCTCACATGCAGACCATAAACATGAAGCCGCTTCAGCTGTGCATTTATTTTATATTAATCACTGAATTATTTTATTTACGTTTGAGATTTATATTCTGGACCGTTGCTTTAGGTTCACCCTGCTGAGTTTTATAAATCACAGATGTTTTTTTTTTTTACTAAAGCTGAATAAGGCCGCATCGAGGCGACTCTTGTTGTGATTATTTATAAATAACTAGTCAAATAATTTGGATTCTTTAATTGTGTAGCAGGTAGAAGGTAAATAAGGCAGAGTGCGATTCGAGTCGGTTCTCGTCTTATCGGGTCTACTCGGATCTTCTCAGGTGCATGTGAGTTGCCCCCGAGACTCATTCCCCTGCTCTGTGGGCGGGGTCATCAATGCAAAGTGGGCGGGTTCTGGAAGTGCTATCCAGCTGGCGCCGAGCCCTGTGATCTGATCTAAAAGACTGAAAGGTCTGGACCTCGTCGTTGGTCCATGATTCTGTTTTGGAGTTTCTGTACTGAACCAGAACCTGGAAAACTAGAAACCAGCTAACTAGAAACCAGCTAACTAGAAACCAGCTAACTAGAAACCAACTAACTAGAAACCAACTAACTAACCCACACGCTACAAGGACCGCAGAGGAAGCGGCAGGTCATCCAGTGACGTAGCTCCACTGGCCAATCGGCGGCTGCAGTCCGCATGGAACCACCAACAAGATGGTCCATAAACTGGGCTGAGTGGGGCTGATACTGGCAGTTAACTGGTGCCGTGTCGTGTAGAACCGATGAGTCGAGACGGTGGCACAGCGTCATAAATGAACCTGGTGTCCTGATGCTGCTCGATAATCCAGGTAGATGAATCGAACCAGGTGGAGTCTGGTCCTCTGGACGGATTATTTGTTGAAACGTTTTGTCTTTCATCCAGAGGACTTCTTCAGTCTGAGGAGCTGCAACAAATTCACCTTCTCTGTGCATGTCCTTGATGGAGAGGAGTGAAGGAGGCCATCTTTAAACAGGGGCGGAGCCTCCATGTCCAACTGTCCCCCTCTTACAATGCTGTTATTGCTAGAATCACTGAGTCCTCTGTGAATAACGAGCAGCCATCAGGGCACTAACGATCCATCGTTGGTCTGATGGTCTGATGGACGACCATCAGACCATCAGACCAATGATGGATCGTTAGTCTGATGGTCTGATGGTCGTCCATCATGTGAGCAGCTGGTTCTGGATGTCACAACAAACTGGTTGATCCACCATGAGAAGGTGCTGTTTAAAAGACTGAGCCAACCTGGTTAGATCTAATGGTGCGTTCAGGTAAAATCTGAATATTTATTGTGAGGATGAGCATCTCGTTTACGTGTTGACCCCCCCCCCCCCCCCCCGCTGGACAGTGGCCTCTCCCGGTTCAGAGCTTCCGGAGGTTTTGCTCGGGAACATTTTGTCCTCCTGCTGTGTGCCAGCTGAGCCGGGTACCGCCTCTGTTTGAACCGGGTCAGACCCCCCCCCCACACGAGCTGCTTCTTACTTCAGGAATCTTTTATTTTTTAAATTTGCACCGACAGCGTGAGCCGTCGCTGCTCGAGCTGAGAGGTTTTCATGGTGGAGGAGGTCTCTGTCCTTCCTCTGAGGAGCCCGTTTGGGTTTTTTCTCCTCTGGAGGAAGTGAAGCGGTTTGGAGGTACATGATGTTCTGGACCCGATGGGTCCTCCTCCTGCACCACGTTTGTGCCTTCAGTTCTCGTAAAAGTCCGCTCAGAAGCTCGTAAATGTTTCTCCTCCGAGCCCCCGGGCTGCAGAGCAAGAAGTGAAAACAAGAAGTTACATAAAGGAGTCGGTGAAGCT